AAGCAATGATCACGTCGTTAATAAACAGTTGCTGGCTTGATGACGCAAAACGAACCGCGGTTCGGACCCAAATAAAATAATATGAACGCAGTCCAGCGGGGGCAGGGGGAGGTGGGAGCAATCGAACTCGGGTTCGGACCAGGCAAGCGAACCAAGTGTGAAAGCACCCTCAGTCTTTGTCCGGCGCGGGTGAAATAATTATAATGCTGAAGGTCAGGTACAATTCATATGTCTTCATTAAATAACTTATAAAGTAATTTGAAAACTTTCTGTGAGGCATAATTTCACAAACAGCGTGAGTGAATCACTGCGCACTCTCTCTCTTTCCCTCTCAAAATGCGCAAATGGCTTCAAATCACCATGCATTGTGTCTGACTATAAGCCAGCTGCACAGTTGACACAGGAATTGTCACTTGCACAATCGAGGCAGTGTCGCATCGTCAATAAAGTTCATAAATTGCATTTCTTTTTAATTCTTGCAAGTGTTTATACCATTCAGCGCTCGCACGCTCTCCTGGAGACTGTGCACTCATGCACACTCGCAGCGCACACACATAACGCCAGGTTCACATTTGTCCGTTTGCAGTGCGAATGCAGTGCGTCTTTTTTCCGCGCTCATGTTAACGGAAAGCGTTCACGCTGCACACAGCTGCTGCCCCGGCAGTATGATCCAGGAGCGGTGCATCTGCAGCAGTGCAGAGATCGTTTCGGAACCGAGTCTATTTTTGCTGCTGAATTAAAGTAACAGCGCATTGTTTGCGGTAAATATTAACATGGATTGACACGAAAATGTAGTAATTACACCATAAATGCATATAATTAAAGTCTACTGTGTTTCACAGTCAACACATAGGCTATGGCTTTTTGGCTAGGTTTAAAAGAAAAGAGCACTTTTAGATAAACAAGGCAATAATAGATGGCACTTGTGGAGGTAGGAAAACAAAGTTCTTTATGAACCAAAGGATTGCTTGTAATAAAGATTTAAATGCATAAGAAAAGACAGTAGAGCTGACTGTTTCTGTCAATGGTAAGTTTAAATTTAAAATGTTTGTGATAATGTAAGAAAAGTAGTTTAAATTTTTTGCCACTTGCTTGAGCAACTTAATATATAAATCTAGAAGTAAATGAAAAAGTAAAAAGCATTGAATAATGTGATTTATTGCATTTAAACATGTCTATGAAAGATTGTATTACTGTAATATGTAAAAAAAAGAATCACAATGCTGAAAAAGCATTTTAAGTATCAATGTTTGGATTTGAAATCAAAATAATGGATACATTTTGTGTTTGTAGTAAACAGCCACGGATCAGGAGCAGACTCCTGTGTGAAAGCACAATGAGAGTCAGTGCTGCTTCTGCACCGCTTGGACTGCATACGGAGTATGTGTGAACCTCACATACAGCTCACAAAATCAGGCTTGCGCTGTGTGTAAGCTATTGTGTCACAGTTGCACGATTGTCAAAACAAAAATGCAGTGCATGATCAAACATTTAGTTGATATAAATATATATTTTTGAAAAATGTCTAAAAAATGCCCCCCTCCACAATAATCTCCTCTCACAAGAGTCACCTAAGAGGGGAATTAATTTTCAAAAATTAAATTCAGGCCCTGAATAAATGTCTAAAAATCTTGATTGGATCATCACTATAAATAATTCTACATGATAAAAAGAAGGCTTTAAAAAGATCGGTATCGGCGATCGTATCGGCAGATACTGCTTTCTGTGATCGACGATCGGTGAACGGCCTCAAAAATCCTGATCAGAGCACCCTCAGTTAAAATGAGCATCCCTAGCTCAGGCCCAGAGAACTCTTGGCGTCCCTGCATAGAAGTGATCTATAGATTTCTTTTTGTGTAGCAGAGATTGCACTTCTTGCATGCAGCGGTAGAGTATGTTAAGTGACACTGGTTTTCCACATTACTCCTGAGCCCATGTAGCTATAACTAACAAAGCAGCATGACAGTTTCTCATGCAATGCCTATGTTAGCTCAAAGGTCAGGCACATTCAACTGAGGTGTCCTGCTTGACCTACACGTAATCCTAAAATTATTTCTCTTTCCCTGAATCTTTTCACAATATTATTCATGGCAGATGGTGAAAGGTCTAAATTTTGCACTCAGAGGTTGTCTGACAATTCTTTCATACAATTTGGACCATGACACCATTTGTGCTGGCAAAGACTGAGATGCCCCTTTTACATCCAATCACAATACCCTCACCTATTACCAATTCAACTGGTTATTATGGACTGTTTCAAAACAGCTGAACTTGGATATTTTATAATATATGTTGTTGTTTTTTTAGGTTTAAAAAAAAACTTAAATAATGAATGATTTGTTGGAATTGGACAAAAAATAACTGCGATACACCCATTTGAAATAGATACAGTCATGGCCAAAAGTTTTGGCAGTGACATAAATTTTGTATTTTGAAAAGCTTGCTGCTTCAGTATTTGTAGATAATTTTTCCACATGTTTCTATGGTATACTGAAAAACAATGATAAGCATATCATAAGTTTTAAAGGATTTTATTGGCAAAATAAAATGAGTCAATATTTACAGTGTTGACCCTTGTTCTTCATAACCTCTGCAATTCGCTCTGGCATGCTGGATATTAGCTTCTGGGCCAAATCCTGACTGATGATGATCTATTCTTGCCTTTTTAGTTCTCGGAGTTGATCACAATTTGTGGGCTTCTACTTGTCCACTTGCCTTTTGAGGACTGACCACAGGTTCTCTATGGGATTGAGATCCGGGGAGTTGCCTGGCCACGGATCCAACATCTCGATGTAATGATCTTCGAGCCACTTCTTTATCACTCTTGCTTTGTGACATGGTGCTCCATCATGCTGGAAAATGCACAGATCATCACCAAATTGCTCATGGATCATTGGAAGAAGTCGCTCTTGCAGGACGTTGTGATACCATTCTTTATTCATGGCAGTGTTTTTGGGCAGAATTATGAGAGA